CAACTTTTGGGCCCTTACTATACCGAGTTTGAAGAAGGAGACCCGACACTGCGTAAAAAGGATACTCTCGGGACCTACACTAAGCCCTCTACAGCCGAGTCGGACCCTTGAACAAACACCTTATATGCACTCTGCATAAAGCCCGAAATCACACCTTTCGCAATTTCAGGAACGCAGTTTTAGCTCAGGCCCTATCTTACTATTCCTTGCAGCTGCTTATCGTGATCATACTGTGCTGTAGCCACAACCCTATTACAATCATCAAGGCCCCGACATTACTACGCGGGGTCGTCAAATTAGGCCTCAGCAACTAGAATAGGCTTTTGGGGCCCACTATAGTATATCTGTAGTAAGGAACCACCCAAAATAGTGTTGGTTCCTTTTTTAATAGCCCCTATACTAAACCATTATAATAGCCCTTACAGTAGCTTTTATAGAACCCTTTAAAGGAATCCCGTATTCTAATTATTTAAGTCCCTAAACTAAGCCCGAAACCCTCAAAGCCCGAAACACTTCAGGCTCCTCTATTACCCCGAGCCCACTACCCCTTAACTAAAGAAGTATAGCTTGTAAAAGGCTTGGGGGTTCCTTAAAGGGTTCCTTAAATGATATATATATATATATGTATATAAGGGTTCTATAAGGGAATTGAGGAATATAGCTTAGAGCATAATATGAAGCCCTTCGTAAGTTTGAGCCATATTCCTTAATTAAGGGGTATTGGGCTCTCTGGGTACTCGTACGGGAGAGGGAGCCTTCCAGCACAACTTGGGAAGCAAAGGCATCGGTTTGGGGGTTTTAGGGGTTAAGGGTTTAGGGGCTTAAGGTATAGGTTAGAACCTGCCCCCACCCTGCAATAGTGACTATAAGGATTTTAGTAGGGCCCTATTATATTCCTATTATACCACTATTACAGGGTGGGGGCAGCTTCTAAGGTATAGGGGTCTTTAGGTTGTTGCCTAAGCCTTAAACTCCTAAGCCGATGACATCCTAGGCCCCTTAAACCACCAAAAAACCGCGAGCCCACGACCTTTAAGTTTTGGGGTTCAAGGTTTGGGAAGCTTCGATTTTTTGGGCCTCAACACCCCTCAATTAGGGAATATACCTTAAATTATAGGGGGCTTAATATTATGATTTAAGGCATATTCCTTAATTCCCTTATAGAAGCCGTATAGATCCCTTTAAGGAACCCTTGAGGGAACCCCTAGCCATACTCCTTAGTTACGGAGCGAGGTTCAAAAGCTCAGGGTAGGGCTGAGCCGAGGCAGGGTTCTTGGGTACGGCCCCCCATACAGTAACAGTCTATAATAGGGCTACTATTAAGTTTAGGGTTTAGGGTTTAGGGTTAGGGTTTAGGGTTATATATCTATATTATGAAATTTATCCAACTGTTACTGAGTGGGGGCCGTACCCAACAGGGTTTTATGGTGTTGGGTTTCCCAGAGAACCCAATACCACCGCAATTAAGGAGTATGGCTTAAGGCCTAGAGATTCCTTAAAGGGTTCCTTAAAGGGTTCTACAAGGGAATGAAGGTCTATACCATAATTCATGTTTTTTCGCCCCTATTAATTCTAAGGTATATTCCCGAATTAAGGGGTGTTGGGATCTCTGGTTTCGGACTTCGAGTTTGTGGTTACAAGGGGATAGTACTAATCACTCGGAACCCCTAACTTAGGCCGTGAGGTGTTTGCCTGATTGGCGAGTTCAGAGTTTGGGGCTTAGGGTTCCGTTTGGAGGATGGGTTGCGCTAGGGTTCCCAGGCCTATCAACCTTTCAAAACCCGATAAGACCCTGTGACTCCTTATCTGCATGGGGCGGCACTATAATAATTTATCTCCTAATCTATTCCGAAAACATACTACAGTTCTAACTATAGTAATAGATCTCCTAATCTATTCCGAAAACATACTACAGTTCTAACTATAATAATAGATCTCCTAATCTATTCCGAAAACATACTACAGTTCTAATCGCCTTTGCAACAAACCCTGTGCTGAGGTGTTGGCAGGGAGGCAAAGCACTGCCATTTGCAGCTGCCTTGCGATTGCTGTGCGGTCTACTCTGGGCATGTGGCCACGCTACAAGGTGAGTCCTGGGTACTGATAATTTAACTCATGGCAGACACCCTACTTCAGGTGTTTTAGGGTTTAGGGGATTCATGTTTTCGAGTTCTAGTTTCAGAACCAACCTTTTTGTGGCTTGGAGTTCGACAGGCAGTGGGGGGCAGCTGTTTCCAAACAAGGTCGCGAAGCTTGGTGGGCTTGTGCTGCAGCCCTGTTGCAGTGTGGACGTAAGAGTTCCCAGTGCCGTCTACGTGTCTTACGGACAGTCGTCTCCATCGAACCTGTTTTCAGGTGCCGCATCAGTCCCGCAGTGCAGCTTCAGCTTCCGGTTGTCAGTTGACTCTAGCTCAAGTTCGTGTTTCTCTGGCAGGGGTTGTAGGCGGAGACCATGAGCCACTCCACCACCAAAGACCAGCTACGAACATTCACGCCTCCACTTTCGGTTGTGAAGGCTTGCCTTTGGGTTCCAGACAACGTGCTGGCAATTCTTGGAGGAGCAGAGAGGATGAGGAACTAGGCTTAGAACGCCTTCCACACGGCAGTACTAACATACCGTGCAGCTTTGACCCCAGGGCCCGCGATGTATGCGGCACGAGACGGCCGAGCATTGGAGACTGAAGTCGGCTGTCAAGAACGTAAGCAGAGCAAAGTGGAAAGCAACAGCTGTATATAGTGGCAAGAGGGGAGGGCGAAGCGTAGTCGCATCGTCCAAGGTGTTTTGTGAAAACGCATCCGCCGAAAGGTTGCCCAGAATAAGGATCCCAGGAGCCTATTGCTTTGCAGAATCCTTGCGATTTAAGCCATCAACCCTATTTTCCCAGATCACCCTGAAGCCCCACACCCTCCTCCCCCGACGCTCTGAAGCTCCACAGCTAAACACTTTAAGCCCTCAAATGGGAGCTTCCGAACATAGGGGACCCCAATATAGGACCTTAGATATTAGGATCCTTATTATTGGGACCCCAGAATGAGGTACCCCTAATTTTCGTAAGCCCTCAAATGTTATTCCTTGAGCAAATCGTTGAACCCTGAAACCTCAAAGCTGGTTCCTGAGCCAAACTTAAACACGAAAACCACTGAAAGGAGCTTCCCAGGACCACACCCGTTAAAACCCTACAGCCCTAGAACACTCTGGTAGAATCCCTCAAACACCCTGATATTTCGGGCCTACAGCACCCTTCATACAGTCCTGGTAAGAAACCCACAGAACCCTGAACACCCTAAACCCTGAACACTCTCAGGACCACGCCCTGGGACTGGCAACGCCACCGTCGTGTCTTGGCGCTGGCGGGCACCCAAGCAGCACGGGAGCATGCGCCCAGGCATAGAGCCAAGATGCATAGCAAGGCAGGCGGATCGTAATAATTAGAATAGGAAGTTTTGGGCCCATTATACAATATTCATAATATGGATAACTTCAAAATAGTATTGGTAATAACTAAAACAAGGTTCCTGTGAAGGTCTATGCGCGTTCCCTAGCCTAGGGGCTTGAATGATTAGAAAGGGGTTCTGAGGTATATTGTATCTACGACTATAACAAGGAAGCTGAGGAATACCACCACTAGTTTGCAATTCAGACTGCTTTGTTTTAGTGCTGCGGGGCCAGCTACAGCTAGCTTTAGTCTGAGGGTTTAGGGGTCTTTTCTTTCTTTAGGTTTGCTCCTCCCCAAGCCCTTCCAAACCCTGTCTTCCACATAAATAACTTGTGTTTAAGGCTTGGGGTTCCCGAGAAACATCTGCGTAACGTTTCGGTATAAACAGTTTTGACTTTCCTAAACCCTAAACCTGAAACTTCAACCCTGTGCACGACGCAACCAGCACGAAGACGAACCACAGTTCGGGCTCAGGGTGCAGTATAGAAGCCCCCAAAAACTGTTTAGGGAAAGGCGTCTAGAGGCGGCTCCTGCTAATTGGGGAAGCGCAATAGACAGTAGTCATGTTGTTCCCGTGTCCGCAAATTCAGTTAGAATTAGAATATAATCTGGCCCTTATCGTCTCTAATGTGACTGTAGTAGAACATGCCCTCTGAACCCTATTGTAAATATTACGGCCCCTACATGAGGACTCAGGGCTTGCACAATCGGTCTTGGACTTGTCTGCTGCCCGTTACTTGAAGGATCGAGGACTCAATACGAAGCCTAGCAGCAGTGTTGTAAATGCCCTACTTGGGCTAAGGGTTTTGGGTTACATTATAGCATAGCTATAGTGAGGTACCCTAAGGATTAGTAATACTCATTTTGAAATTTTGATATTTTCTACTCGGGCTTGGCTCCTACCTACAAGCCTACTTACAGCCGACTAACCAAGTCCCCTGATCCCTGCAAGTATGGTTTTGGGTCTGAACTTGTGATGTTACCAGCCTTAATATGGAAATCCTAAACTCCAAACCCTAAAGCCCTAAACCCCCAAAAAAGAAATCCGCAAAGGGTGTGTAGGGTATGCCAGGGCCTCTCAAGGGGCCTAAAAGCAAAAACCTCCCAACAAGGTTTATAGCTTTAGGGTCTAGGGTTTAGGGGCTCGAGACAGGTTTACGATTCCGTTGTTAATTTTTTGCAGGGTTTTATGGGGTTTTCATGGCTGGTAAAGGCATTGAACGGGCCCCGACCTCCTTTATGGGATGTGGCTTTCTTGGAGACGCCTTGCTGCATTTGCTGAACTTTTCCATGTGCTGTCTCAAGCTTGCCGGCCAAACGACCGTAGTAAACTCAGGGCAAATGTAATGCCGATTGCTCGAGACGATGCGCATGCCAGCCTTCTGTACGCTCGAAGGGCACGCCACCTAGAGAACCCATACTAAAACGGTTACCATTATTGCTACTATTATTGTTTTTAGTATTATTTTGTTTTCTTCTTATTTACTAGCATTGTTAGTATTGTTGTTATTAATTTGGTTGTTCTTTTTTAAATGTCGACAGCAGGGTCAGGTCCTCGGTTTCTCACTCAGCCCAGAGCTCTTTCCTGTCCAGCGCAGCGCAGCACTGCCTGGGATGGAGGGGGGTCAGTAGGGTTAAGTAGGAAGCCCTTATAGGGTCCCTTTAAGGGATCTCTAGGGTTCCTTTAAGGAATCTATAGGGGTACTTTTAAGGGATCTATAGGGGTACTATAAGGGTTCAGGGTTTGGGGGGGGGGGGGGGCTTTTTGGAGGTCGGGATACTAAGAGGGCTTAGTGTTTTGGGTTAGGGCCGTTTAGGGTTTAGGGTTTAGGGCCGTTTAGGGTTTTGGAGTTGGGCTTGCTACTAGGTGACTTTAAGGAATACCATAAAGGGCTCTTTTGAGTTTACCCTTATGAGGGATAGGGTTCCCTTAAGGGTACCCATAACTCTATGCGGGATACTATTACTTGGAGGATCAGGGGACTTAGCAAGTAGGGTTATAAGTAAGGTAACTATAGTTATACTTACTTATAATCCCAATTAAAGTACTTATAACCCTAGTTACTAAGTCTCATGATCCTCTAAGTGTTACCGACCTCCGCTGTGAAGACAAACCTCCTTGGAGGGGTCGAGGAGCTGTGACCCTCGCAGGAAAGTCTGGGTTCTTGCTAAGGAAGATTTTTCTAAGTTGCCATAATCAGGGAACCCAAGTATTTACCATAGATCACTGCTATAGTTACCATAAAAAGGAAACCCTACTATTTACTCTAGATCCCTTCTCTGGTAACTAAAATTAAACTCCTTAACCCAGAGATCCCAATACTCTTAATTAAGGAATGCGGCTTAAATTATATAGGGCATCATATTATGATTTAAGCTCTACTCCTTAATTAAGGGTATTGGGCTCTCTGGCAGTTTCCGAAAATAGGGGACCCTAATATCGCACACTAAATAGTAGGATCCTTGTTATAAGGACCCCAAAATAAGGTACCTTTAATTTTCGGAAACTCCCAAATTCCTCAACAAGAACCCAGAAGCAGCGTGAAGCTGAGCCGTCGAGCCACACTCGGCCACGCGCGCTTGGACTGGCTCCAGCCAAGGCCTGGCAGCGGAATCGAAGGCCGAAAGAGCCCAATACTTACCTTTGGTTAGTAGAGAATGGAGGAATGTGTTCACAATTATCACTACTATTACTACCATTCTTCCATTCCCTAGTAACCAAAGGTAAGCATATTGTTGAAACAACTCGTATCTCCTTGATTACAGGTTTTATGCAACGGCGGAGCGGTTTTTTTTTTCCTAGGTCTGGCCCTCCCCGGCTTGCTTTCCTAGGTCTGGCCCACTGGTTGTGGTTGCCAACAGCGGCAGCTGCGGTCTTTGCTGCATCAAGCTATTGGGGAACTAGAATTCGACGGCTCTGGTTTTGCTTCTGTTTTGCATGAAGCTATTGGGGAACTACAACTTGCGGAGTCTGATTTTGCTTGTGTTTAGCATGAAGCTGTTGGGGAACCACAAGTTGCAGGGTTCGGTTTTCTTTGTGTTTTGCATGAAGCTATTGGGGGGTTCGCATTTGCAGGGATCGGTGTTGCTTGTGTTTTGCATCAAGCTATTGGGGAACTACAATTCGCAGGGTCTTCTTCTGCTTGTGTTCTGCTTGAAGCTATTAGGGAACTAGAATTTGCGGTGTGTTCATCTGCTTGTCTTTTGCATGAAGCCACTAGGGAAGTACAATTTGCGGTGTGTTTTTGTGCTTGTGTTTTGAATCAAGCTAACGGGGGAACTACAATTTGCGGGGTCGGCCTTGTTTGTGTTTTGCATCAAGCTATTGGGGAACTACAATTTGCAGAGTCTTTTATTGTTTGTGTTTTTCATCAAGCTAATGGGGAACTAGCATTCGCAGGGTCTGGTTTTGCTTGTGTATTGCATGAAGGTATTGGAGCACTACAATTTGCAGGGTCGTGTTTCGCGTGTGAATAGTGCGAAATGCCAATTTCAAATCTTCTGTCTTCTGGCGTTGTTTTTTGGTGTCGTTGTCGACATCTAGGTCATCGTCGTCGTCGTCGTCGTCCTCGTCCTCGTCCTCGTCGTTGCCGTCGTGGTAGTTGTTCTTGTTGTTGTTGTTGCTGTTGCTGGTGTTCTTGTTGTTGCTGTAGGGTTCGGTTTTCTTTGTGTTTTGCATGAAGCTATTGGGGGGTTCGCATTTGCAGGGATCGGTGTTGCTTGTGTTTTGCATCAAGCTATTGGGGAACTACAATTCGCAGGGTCTTCTTCTGCTTGTGTTCTGCTTGAAGCTATTAGGGAACTAGAATTTGCGGTGTGTTCATCTGCTTGTCTTTTGCATGAAGCCACTAGGGAAGTACAATTTGCGGTGTGTTCTTGTGCTTGTGTTTTGCATCAAGCTAATGGGGGAACTACAATTTGCGGGGTCGGCCTTGTTTGTGTTTTGCATCAAGCCATTGGGGAACTACAATTTGCAGAGTCTTTTATTGTTTGTGTTTTTCATCAAGCTAATGGGGAACTAGCATTCGCAGGGTCTGGTTTTACTTGTGTATTGCATGAAGGTATTGGAGGGGTGAGGGATCAAAAAAAAAATAAATAAGGATCAAAAAAATTAAATGGAAAGATCAAAAAAGTAAAATAAGGATCAAAAAAAAAATTAAATCACTCAAAATACAGCAATTCCTGGGGCAGAGGCATCAACAAAAATTAAAATTAGGATCAAAAAATAAATCACTTCAAATACAGCAATTCCTGAATTTTTCCAAGGGAAAACACTGTTTTCCTAGGGATTTTCTTTTGTTTCCTTAGGATCTGTTTGGTTTTTCCTCTGGAAAACACGATATTCCTGCGGATTCCGTGGTATTTCCCTAAGTTTTCCTTGATTTTTCGTAGGAAACAGCCTATTTTGCTATTACCTATGGCGTTCGTGTCATTTCTTCAGGTTTTCAGAAGGACAACATATGGTTGTTCCTCGGGAAAATCAAATTTTCCTTGCAATTTCACATTTAGGACGGATTTCCTGTTGTAGCTGTTGCTGGTATTCCGCTTCATCATCTATCTTAAACACGCCCCTCATTTGGCGATTCTGGCTCAGCATGTATCTACAAGGGCGGAGACGCCCTCATTTGCTGGGTTTCAAAAAAAGGCATATGCTTCAAAGCAACCCTGCACGGCTTAAAACAGCGGGGGGGTTGGGGGGGGCGCAGCCCCCCCCATTTGCAGAGACAACGTTCACATGATGGGCTTCGAAAACACTCTTTGAATCAAGCTTGCACGTCTCGAAAAGCGCGGCGGCGGGTGTTTTGTTCTTCCGTGCCTGTTCGTGTCTCTTCTTCCGTTAGCATTCTAACCTATATATATATATATATATATATATAACATAGTAAACCAGAAGAACGACATAAGATGGTTCGACAACACAAAACTGGTGTGACATTTTCTGACATAACAGAACCTTGCTTCTTATAGCATATAATAGCATACTAAAAATACAACAATACAACATAACAGAAGATGACATAGAACAAAACAACATCTTAGTTTATAGTGTAGTACATTGTAACATAGTACAATACAGTGTGTATATTTACAACATAATATGTAGTATATTTTATAACATTAGGTTACATTATGTATTATTATATTACGGTACATTACGATATTATGGTAAATTCGATTGGACTATGTAGTATCCTGTTGCTTGTATCTTTGTTTCTGTGATTCTTTCATATTCTTTCTCTTTCGTCTTGTCCAACTTTGCTTTTTTATTCTGGACATCTTTCTTTCTTTCGCTCGTTCATTTCTTTTATTTCTTTCTGTTGTTCTTTCTTTGTTCATCTCGTACTCCCTTCCTTTGTTTCTTGCTTTCTTTCTGGTTTGATTTATTTCGTTCTTTCTTTGGTTCGTTCTTTCTTTCGTTATTGCTTTCGTTCTTTCTTTCGTTTTTGCTTTCGTTCTTTCGTTCTCTCTCTCTTGTTCTATCGTTCTTTCTTTCTGTTTTCCTTTCTTTCGTCCTCTTTAGATACAGCAGTTTTTGAATTTTTCCCAGTGGAAACACTGTTTTCATACGGATTTGTTTTCATTTCCTGAGGATTTGCTTGGTTTTTGCTCGGGAAAACACGATTTTCCTACGGATTCCGTGGTATTTCTTTAAGTTTCTTTCTTTAGTTCTTGCTTTCGTTCTTCCTCTTGTTTTTGCTTTTGTTCTTTCGTTCTCTCTTTCGTTCTTTGATTCTTTCTTTCTGTCTTTCTTTCTTGCTTTTTAGATACCGCAACCAGCGGACCAGGGACCAGGGGACCGGAGGACCAAAGGACCAGGGGACCAGGACCAGAGGACCAAAGGACCAGGGGACCAAGGGACCATGGGGCCAGACCTAGCAAGGCCCCCCAGAGTAGGCCAGACCTAGGAAAAAAAAACCATGGCCCTTATGCAACCTCCTGCCAAAAAGAAACTTTCAACTCAGGGAAGGTAAGCACGCACACAGGATAGGGGGGGTTAGAGGTTCTCTTCCGCCCCCAGAACCCCTGAACTTTACGTGGCCAGCTGTACAATTTCTGGGTTCGCCCTCAACTCAGAGATCCCAATACCCCTTAATTAAGCATACCTTAAATTTTAGGGGGCATCCTATCTTGATTTCAGGTATATCCCTTGATTAAGGGTATTGGGTTCTCTGGGAACCCTTACTACCCCAACAAGCCACAGAAATAAAAGGTTAGACCTTCCGACTCCCACGAAACTATAAGAACCCCAAAAGTCTAAAGGTTAGGTATTGGGGATCTACCTAGACCCACCAACTACGCTCTTATTTGCCCCCAAATACCAACTACTAAGGGCCATAAGGACTCTATTAAAGTTCACTGGAACCCCCGGAATTCAGTTTTGGGGATCTAAGAATGCGAAGGTTCACTGGACACCTGAACAACACTCCCGGGCCTGAGGTGGGCCTTCGACTCAGGGTTCCGGAGTTTCCGAAAATGAGGGAGTACCTAAGGGTTCCTTATAAGGGTTCCTATAAGGGATCTAACGAGTTTAGGGTTTAGGGAGTTTCCGAAAATTAAGGGTGCCTTATTTGGGGGCCCTTATAATAAGGATCCTAGTATTTAGGGTGCTATATTAGGGTCCCTATTTTCGGAAAATCCCATATGCCCACGCCAACGCAAGGTGTGACATAGGGGCCTCAGTGATGAAAAGACTCTAAACATTTTTTGCGGTAAATTCTGCTATAGTTTTGTTAGACGCTGGAAGAGAGCACTAGTACTAGCTGTTCTGACCCCTATGTTACCTTCCACGAAACACTCGCTCTCGTGAGATGGGCCTGTACCATCCAGGCGTCTGCGTTTTTCTCCTGTAGGGTGGAGCTCTCGAGAAACCTCAATGTCTCTCAAGTCTCAATTATTATAGTTCTTGACGAAAGGATCGTGGAGCCTGTCCACATTTTCTCGTACCTATTCACAAAACCGATTCAAAAATTCATTGCATCCGGTAGTGACATCAGTTTGCACCGTTTGATAGCTTCCGGTTGCCTGAAACTGCTTCGTCTGCATGTTTATGTCGACGGTCTGCCCACCTACGTGCATCTATGCATCTATGCGTCTGCGTGGAGAGTCATGCTTTAGTGAGGCAGTTCTCCATCTCATAGGCCAAACGTCTTTGACCGTGTCAGTTCCGAGTGGGAAGGTTCCAAGGGGGGGGGTCTTGCAAACCCGAAAAGCCCAACAACTACCATAGGGGGCTTAATAAGTAGAATACAGTTTTGGGGCCCATTGTAGTATGACTATAGTAAGGAGCCCCCAACGTAGTATTAGCAATTATTTACGCCCGTATATTACTAGCTCAGCTACGAAGGGTGACCTTCCGCAGTGGAGGCCGTGTGGTATTATTTAGGCCCATGTACTCCCCCATGCGGTGTTGTAGCCGTTTATCGCAGCCCTAAACCCTGGACCCTTGTAGAACCCTAAATCCTCGTAGAACCCTAAACCCTGAGTCCTAGACAAGGGTCCTGAACCCTAAACCCTAAACCTTAAACCAACCTTAAACCTCTAAACCCCTACACACTGTGAGACTGAACCCTTGTAAAACCCGAAACCCCGAATCCTCGAGGGGATATGTACACGAGGTACCTTAATGACTACAAAACCCCCATAGAACCCTTGCAGAGCCCTTATAGCAACCCTATAAGGCCTAAATCCCTACAATTAGAGGTATGTACGGTTTGTACCCTCGGGTTTAGGGGTTTAGGGCCTAATAAGAGTATGTTTTATAGCAGCCCTAAGACCTAAATCCCTAAATTTCCAAGTCCTCGATGGGGTAGGTACACTAGAATAGGCTTCAGGGCTTTAGGGTTTCGGGCTTAAGACGATCTTTTTTCAACCCTATCGGCCCTAAATCCCTTAAGCTCCCCAGTCCTCGATGGGGTAATGCATTACCTTAAGGACCCTAAATCATGGGAACTATAATATATTCCTTATAATGGGTAATGCAGGACCTATATCATCAACCCTAAGGCCTATATCCCTAAATTTCCTCAAGTCCTCGATGGGGTAGGTGGCTTCGAAGCCGAGGGCTCCAGCGGGCTTGAAGCCGTGCTTTGGATAGTAGGTCGGATGCCTTGGGGGTTGGTTTAGGGTTTAGGGTTTAGGGTTTAGGGTGGTTTAGGGTTACTTTCTGTAAGGTTCTTTTAGGGGTTTATTGGAGTCTATAAGGGGATTGGGGTTAAGGGATCCGGATAGTAGGTCGGATGCCTTGGGGGTTGGTGTAAGGTTTAGGGTTTAGGGTTTAGGGTTTAGGGTTTAGGGTGGTTTAGGGTTACATTCTGTAAGGTTCTTTTAGGGGTTTATTGGAGTCTATAAGGGGATTGGGGTTAAGGGATCCGGATAGTAGGTCGGATGCCTTGGGGGTTGGTGTAAGGTTTAGGGTTTAGGGTTTAGGGTTTAGGGTTTAGGGTGGTTTAGGGTTACATTCTGTAAGGTTCTTTTAGGGGTTTATTGGAGTCTATAAGGGGATTGGGGTTAAGGGATCCGGATAGTAGGTCGGATGCCTTGGGGGTTGGTGTAAGGTTTAGGGTTTAGGGTTTAGGGTTTAGGGTTTAGGGTGGTTTAGGGTTACATTCTGTAAGGTTCTTTTAGGGGTTTATTGGAGTCTATAAGGGGATTGGGGTTAAGGGATCCGGATAGTAGGTCGGATGCCTTGGGGGTTGGTGTAAGGTTTAGGGTTTAGGGTTTAGGGTTTAGGGTGGTTTAGGGTTACATTCTGTAAGGCTCTTTTAGGGGTTTATTGGAGTCTATAAGGGGATTGGGGTTAAGGGATCCGGATAGTAGGTCGGATGCCTTGGGGGTTGGTGTAAGGTTTAGGGTTTAGGGTTTAGGGTTTAGGGTGGTTTAGGGTTACATTCTGTAAGGCTCTTTTAGGGGTTTATTGGAGTCTATAAGGGGATTGGGGTTAAGGGATCCGGATAGTAGGTCGGATGCCTTGGGGGTTGGTGTAAGGTTACATGATGTAGGGTGGTTTTAGGGCTCTATCAGAGTCTATAAGGGGATTGGGGGTCTAGGAATTCGGATAGTAGGTCGGATGCCTTGGGGATTGGTTTTAGGGGTTTATGGGGGTCTATAACGGGATTGGGGTTTAGGGATCCGGATAGTAGGTCGGATGCCTTGGGGATTTAAGGATCTCTTAGGGTCAGTTGGTTCTATAAGACGCTACAACTTGTATAAGGGGGCGTTGGGGTTTAGGGATTCGGGATAGTAGGTCTGATGCCTTGGGGTTTAAGAATCTCGGTTTCGCGTTTTGGAGATCAGGGTTCTTTGTGAACCCCCCCAAAAATTTGCGCCACTCCAAAATGTAGACCTAAGCCGGTAGCTGCTACATGCCAATGCCCAAAGACTCCAAAACTCCTTAAGTAAGGAAACTCCCTTAAGTTACCATAAGAACCAGAATACGATTTGGGGTATATTCCTTGATTAAGGGGTTTTGGAGTCTCTGGGTTCGAGAGTCTGTAATAACAAAGTCTGCAGCATCAGCCCCAAAGCCTTGGATTGACAAACTCTACCTTGAAAGGATCCTTTAGCATCGCGGCCTTACTAATTAGAATAAAGTTTTGGGGCCCGTTATACTATAGTTATAACAAGGAACCCCTGAAACAGTACAGGCCCCTATATTACCTGATTTTGCTTAGGGTCTGAAACCAGGATCCGTTGAATGTTCCAGCACCGCCAGGACTGTCTGGTGCTTAGTAGGGAATGGCTGAATGGATCCCTAAAGTAGTCCCTATATACTCCCCAATAATAGTCTCCATAATCCATTCCCTACTAGGCACCAGACAGACGACGACGACGAAAATGCGGCTTCTTCTGCTACTCCTACGCCTACTCCGACTCCTGTACCCTGCACTACCACTGTTAGTTTCTCAAACAAATGTCACCGCGAAGTAATTCCACCGCCACCTAAACCCTAAAACCCTAAATCCTAAATCTCCTCCAAGGAGCCCAAGCACGAAGACCAAAGCCGTCCCTTGGGCTTCAAGGGCCTGGAGCCCCGCACGGATGAGTTGGCCACCGATGCCTCCCGGCTCTGAGGCTGCCGGGTTTAGGAGTTTAGACTTAAGGGTTTAGGGTTTGGGACTTTAGGGTTTAGGAGTTTAGGGTTTAGGAGTTTAGGCTTAAGGGTCTCCAGGTTTGGGGGTTTTGGGGTGTAAGGGTGTAGGGTTCTGAAGCAATATGAGTAGTCGCAGTAATGATGCACAGTTTGCAAGTTGGACGCAAGGGCTGTGAGGCTCGGGCTTGGGTTGTTCAGCATCTTGTATGTGACCTGAACTGCAGGCAGCCACAAAGCGGCACCCTCGAAATCAAGGTACCCTTTCAGGGCACATTACTCGTACAATACGGACCCAGGAAGGAAAGTTGGCTGGGAGAAACATCCAAATTCATAAAGCAACGACAAAGACCCAGAGCTAACTGTAGAACCTACGCGGAAAGCCCACGACATTCGCCATACCGTTTCACGCTTCCACACCCTACATGCTGACCTGTTCTCGATTTGCTTATAGGCGAGAAGCACTTGTTCTCTGATCTCACAGTCTTTCTTAATTGGTTCGAGTCCTCCTTGACCAAGTTCTAACCAATAAACGACGATGTTCACCAAAACTTCGGATCTCAGCATCGGAACTCCTACAAGTTCTCTCTCTCTCTCCCTCTCTCCATCTCTCTTTCCCTCTGTTTAACGCTGCATCTCAAACCCGCAAACACGAACCTCCAAGCTTCCTAAACCCAAGAAACTGAGCACCAGAATCTCTAAGCCTTAAGCTCTAAAGCCCCAAGGCCCTAAAGCCGGAACTTTAGACACTGCTGAGGACGCCTTTGGATTGAACTTCGGGGAGAACAGCGAGAGGCGCCAGAATGGCTGCCTTTACCTGAGATGTGCAGGTTTGGGAGGGGAATCTTTTACCAAACTTTTCGCGTGTAATCGTACTAGGGATAGTGATTACTAAGTTCAAGTTCTGGGAGTGACTTTGGGAGGCGCGCATTTAGGAAACTTCTATTTTCCACTTAAGTTGTTCGTCGAATGGGCCTATTGCTTTCTATTGTTGCTTCTTCATTGTAAAGGATTTGTGTGACCCAAAAGCAGGCGATCGCAAAGCTATGCCGAGAAGGAAGGGGCAGGTGCTACATGTAATTAGGTAGTATTATTAGGGAGACCCCTTAAAGGGTACCCCTTCTGAATGGACCCTACTTCTGGCTCTCTTAAATGGGCCTTATTGAGAGGGTCTATATCCCCAAAGGGTCCCCCTAATGAAAACTCCCAGTAGTACCCGGAATGCAGGAGGTGGCAACTGCTTGCTCCACGACCCCACGACCCCACCCCATATGCCCATCTGGATGTGCAGGGCCGCGAAGAAACATGCCACCCTCTAGAACAGCCCGCTCTTCTACATCATAGACATCGGAAAAGCCTGAAACGAACACCGGATGCTGTAATCAACAGCTACCGTGGTAAAAAGCTAGCAAGGAATGTGAGTTCCAGCATCAAAGGGACCCCGAAAAAGACACCACATCGTAGGATCTGTATGATATATAAGGTACCCCCTAAGTGAACCCCTACTTCTCAGAACCTCCCGAACCCCTCCTCCGTAGTGAAACCCTTAGCGACCAAGGGCCATCCGAAGGAAAAACGAGTCATCAAGATTCCCTTTGATGGCAACATGGGTCCCTAGAAAGAGGGCTGCTCAGATGTGCCTGTTCGACCCCGAGCCCGAACACTAGAACACTAAGCCGCAAACAAACACCCACCAAACCGTAAAACCATAAATGCTGAAACCCGAAGCCCCTAAACCCACACGATCTACGACGGGAGCCTGAATAAATCTGATGGGTTTTACGGGGGAAAGAATAGTATACTTATACCAAGGAACCCTCAGAAATAGCATGCGAAGGTATTCCGACCACTAGATTAAAGCGTCCGAAGCGCTTCCTGTTCTGGCTCCAGCCGGGCTGTGCTGAAAAGGATGTGCCCCACCACACGGCCCTGGACGGCCGGGAGGTTGGGGCTGAATATAGGGGCTTTAGTGATGGGAATAGGGTCAGGATCACATGTGAATATGTCCAGTAGCTGTGACTTGTGGAGCTATCAACGTTCACTTTGCTGTCATTACTTCTTCTGATGGTAGATGACCGCCTTGTTGAGCACACTACTGGCGCAGACTGACTACATACTTACGTGACTATCTGCAGCGGTAGTAGCACGTTATCATGACATGCTGTGGATCTGCATTATAATTATTCGCTCTTTCGGCATATGACACCAGACTTTGAAACCGTGGGAATTTCCCAAAGAATGCACCTCTCCGCCCAACATAGAACCACACTAGCCTGGCAGGGCTTGTTTTGCAAAGGCACGCTATACTCCAAGCCCGAAGCCCTCTCAACTCACCGATGTCAAGAACCCTCCGTCCTCCGGCGCCTCACGGATTAGAATACTTAGAGGTTCCTCGGACTTAGCAAGAAGGGATATAAGTACCTTAATAAGGGGTATAAGTAGATATAACCATAGTTACCTTACTTATAACCCTACTTACTAAGTCCCCTGATCCTTTAAGTAGGGTCTTGGGTTTTCTTAACGTACTGTATAAAATGAGCCCCAAGCAATACTGCTGGCAATCATCCAGGCTTCTATGATAGGTGGGTGGTTTGACTTGCGAGGTTGTGATTCGGGGCCATTTGGATTTTGCTGAGCTCCAATTTGATTTTTCACATGCACGAATGAAACAAGAAACAACTCAGGGTTGGAACTTTTTGGGGCTTGCAGGCTTTAAGATTTGCGGTATTTTAGGGGGACAACAGCCCCAGGACCCAAGCAGTGGAATCCATGAAACAGATCTCTGCTCAAATCCTAGATTTGAGGTATTTTAGGGGGACAACAGCCCCAGGACCCAAACAGTGGAATCCATGAAACATATCTCTGCTCAAATCCTATGCTTGTGGGATACTGTTTTGGAGGTTCTATGTTCTGATTACGACTTTCAATACGGTTGTGGGGTTGATTAAAAGTTATAGCATAATCATACTACGGAGCCCGAAGGAATTACATGCGTCACTATGCCAGCGCCCATATTGGATCTTTATTCAAGCCTATGGAAGCTGAAAGGCTGTCCTCGATCGCAGCGACCAGTGAGGTGGTGGGTTCGGCAGTCGAGTCCTGCTGGTCGTTGCGTGGAACAGGCTTACGGGCGCACAGGGTTTGCAGACGTCATCGGGTTTAGGGATTAAGTTTAGGGGCTTTGAGCCCTCGGTCTTGGCTCCTTCGCGGGGGAGCAACTTCACTTGTTGAACCGGTGGTTAAAAAAGGACAAAAACCCAAAACCCTAAGCCCTAAATATGAGTAATTACAAGCATAGTTGCCTTATTCATAACCTTCGTTGCTAAGTCCCATGATCCTTTAATTCCTAAACCCTAAGCTCCAAGTATCTGGGCAAGGTGTTTGAAACTGGGAGCCGGCTAAACTCGGAACTCTGAGCTCCGCACAAGAGGCCCGAAAGACTCTAGCTTGAGGGCCTGAACACGCCCAGAGAGCCCAATACCCCTTAATTAAGGAATATGGCTTAAATTATCTGTGGCTTCATATTATGATTTAAGCCATATTCCTGAATTGAGGGGTATTGGGCTCTCTGGGCCGTCATGCAAGGCACACGGCGAAAGCTCTTTTGTGCTCGCAAGAAGCCCATCTTCTCCATGGGTTCTGCGATGTCGAGCTGATGGTCAGAAGTCAAAACGGGCAGGTAGCTAAGTTGGGATTCCTGACATTGTTTCCACTAATGACCACCCTAGTTGCGACCAGAAACCAACCCTTCGGTAAAGCCCCTTTCGATTCGAAAATATCGGACTAGAACAACTTGCGCTTTCTGCTCTTTTGCAGTGCTGCGCCATCTAGCCGCTTGCCCAACAGGTCTTGCACAGCTGCGGGCAGCGTGCCTTTTGCTAGCTCGTCCTGCACAGCGGAAGACGTGCGTGCAAAGCTTCGACAAACAGTCTTCAACGCTTCGAGGCCTTTGAGCACCGCAGCTTCAGCGATGGAGGGGAAGCTCTTCGGCTCAAGCATGCCGGACAAAGCCTGTGCAATCATGGAAACTGCATCGGTGACTTGCCAGCGGTGTGCGAGGTCTAATGCCTCCAAGAACGTCTCGTAAGAGGGCTCATCTTGGGTGGAGCATGTGTAGATCATCTGCAGGAGTAGCGTTACCCCTTGACTCGAGGAATCTTTCACCTCAATGCACTGGGTAGTGCCTTCTTTCATGGAAGACTCCAGCATTGCTTTCAGCACAGGAGATGCATCCATGAGCATGTGCGCATGGGCCGTGACAGGCCCTTGCCCAGTTTGGAAAGTTAAGTCATGCGATCCAGTTGCATTAAGCATTCGCTCCCAACGCTCAAGCACAGCCTGATCAACTGACACCCTTGGACGCTTGGGAACCGCATGCATGGCGATAGTGGACAGCACTTCGTCAATAAAGCGAACCTGTCGGTTTCTGCCCAACTGATCCTTATTCGCGACGGATGCATAATGCCGGTATTCGCCAAGCAGGGAGACTGTTGACTGTCCACTCAAGCCGATCATCTCGTTATTTTTCTCGTTATTTTTTGTCATGCAGAGAGTGCAAGACGGCGGGGCCTTTTGCATGGGATCTGCGCCCGCCTGAAGAAGCCACTCAAGGATGTCTACAGGATATGCCACTTCCGCAGCAAAAACCTTCGGCAGCCACTCCGTCCTGAGCTACTCTTTCGGATGTATTGCGAAAACTGTTCGGTACCAGATCGTGAACCCCTAAACCTTCTTGCCAGTAGAAGCCGAGTCTCACCCAGAACATGATGGGTGGCAGGTCCTCCTTGGGATGGAGGCTAGACCAGTCAAAGTCTGCAGGGGTTAGTCGGCGCAAAATCTCCAAGTCGCCGATCTCTAGAAGGTTGAAGACGACAGAGCATGACTCATCGGTTGAAGTCTTTTTTTTGGGCGGCATTCCGGCACGGAGTACCGCACGCTGTGGACGCTGGCTGCCTGAGACGGGACTTTCAGCATTAGTGTTCAGCCACAACAAAACAAAGGTCCACTATACTTGCTAGAACTGACAAGCGACAGCCAAACCAGAGTATCCGTAAAATATCTAATTCCCGTGCACCCTGGAAGGTCTTGGCTTGCCATTCCCTGCACCCTACAGCCCTAAACCAGAAAATGCATGGAGTTGATAACTGGAATAGGGTTTTGGGGTATATTGCAGAATATTTTTACTAGGAAATATAAGGGGGTCCTGTTTATAGTGATTCCTAAACCCCCATATTTGTGCTGCGCCTCAGAAAAGCGAGGCTGCTGCGAAACCCCGACCGGTCTCTACTCGCAAGCCTTTGCTTCTCGTACTTGTCCAGTATCCTAGGAGAACCAAGGCTTAACTGTTGATAGAGGGCTACTATATGGGATACTATAAGGATACTATCAGGGCTACTATAAGGGATACTACAAGGTTATGTTAACCTTGGAACGTTAGTTTTGGGGGTATACCGGGTTTATAGCACCCAACGCGGTTAGAAGGATGCTTTGTCTACTCCCAAGCTTTTCGGTCTTTGAGCCAGCTAGTCCATGGGACGGCGATGAAAGGTCGGGTCATGAAGGTAGCATAGGACTCGGGCTTAGTGAGGGGTGGAGGGGTGGAGGGTGGAGGTGGGGTGGAGGGTGGAGGGGTGGAGGGTTTAGGGCTTAGGGATAACATCGAGACATAATCATTAGCTTCTTAGTCCAACCGAATGTTGGCATACGAACTAAGGACAGTAATCTAGCTGACTCCTGCGAGGATTTACACGTTTCGGCCCTGCTTGCAGTCTTCCTTCATCCAGTTTGCAAGCAGGACGTTTCATAGCACCTATTTTTTCGCCAAACCCTCCGTGGGATTTCACACTGAAGCGCGTGGCACTTTGCATGAGTACAGGGCCTGGGCTGCATCTTCTACAGTGAAGTCGCATGCAAAACTGCTAAAAAAACATCTCCCCCACTTGCAGTATGGATCCTGTCTTGGGTAATCAGTACTGCCATGTAATGTAATCTCAAGGTTACAGAACTCCCATCCAGGTGTGTACCGCAGCATATTCTCCCCAGAGCCTCCAAAACCCCTTAATTAAGGAACATACCTTAAATTGTAATAGGATCCCTTATATGATGTAAGGTATATTCCTTAATTGAGGGGTTTTGGGCTCTCTGGGTTCTCTATGATGGGGAACAAAGAGGAGACCCGAGATTGGGAGTACCCAGAGAGCCCAATACCCCTTAATTAAGGAATATGGCTTGAATTGTATAGGGCTTCATATTATGATTTAAGATATAATCCTCAATTAAGGGGTATGGGGCTCTCTGGGCATCCTCCAGGTTTCTAGCACTTGTGCTCTGATGTCCTCAAGGATTGCCGCGACTAAGCTGACGATGATCTCGTTCTCCTTTGTCGGACAGCTGCAAGGTCCAGCTGCCCACGGATCCCAATACCCCTTAATTAAGGAACACACCTTCTATTATAGGGGGCTTAAGATTATGATGTAAGGTACATTTCTCAATTAAGGGGCATTGGGTTCTCTGAGTGGGAAACGAGTGCTATCCAGCTAGTTCATCTGGTCGGGCTTCGGAGTCCAAGTCTCCTTGCAAAGGCTTTCGGCCCTTGTTGATGGGTTTCGGTACGCTGCCAGAACTGCTTCAGGATTCTTGCTTTCTGTTTTGCTGCTGCTATCCCTCCTTGCCGCAAGCCACTGCACAATTCAGATGTACAGTTGTCTGTGCTGCATCAGACTATTGTGACTCGTGACTGTCAGCATGCAGCGTGCTTATTGTGGTAAGGCTTCTGCGGGAATGCCAAGCTAGCTAGAAAATGTGGAACCCAGAGAGCCCAATATCCCTTAATTCAGGAATTTAGCTTAAATCATAATATGAAAACCTGTATAATTTAAGCCATATTCCCATAATTCCCTTATAGAACCCTTATAGATCCCTTTAAGGAGCCCTTTAAGAAACCCCGTATAGTCCTAAATTAGAGGGTATTTTGGGCTTTCTGGGAAACTTCGGGACTGAGAAGTTCAGAACCGAGAGCCGCAACCGGCTCCGTAAATCCAAAACCCATAAGGGCTTAGGAGGGGGTTAGGGTTTCGGGTGTAGGGTTTAGGGTTTAAGGTTTAGGGGTTTAGGCCGGGGTACCCAAAAAGGGACCCTAATGTTGACAACCACCTATATCACAACACTGTAGACCCAAAGATGCCAATAGCCCTTGATTGAGGATTAGACCTTAAAGTATAGGGGGTTCAATATTATGAATGAAGCTGTATTCCTGAATTAAGGGGTATTGGGTTCTCTGGGGACCTCCTAAGCCCAGTTCCTGAAAACAATCGCGGCCTCTGCACTGAAGGCAGCCCGGTGGACGGACTGAATTGCCTGATGCGTGGCTTTCAGTGCGGGGCGAGATGGCTCCAAACGGTTTTTGGGTTCAAGGGGCAGCTGTGGAATCCGTATGCATGTCTGTCAGTAGATATGGTATGGACGCACGCATGCAGCAGCCGCACAACACATACATGGACAAATAATCCTGGCATCTTCGTGGTTTCTATCCACAGATATGTATATGTTTATATACATACCACTGTACGCACGTAAGTATGTATGCATGCATGCGTTCCCACACTGCATCGAAGTAGTTCCATGGAGACACCTGAGTTACAGACGTCCCTCCTCAAAGCGTTCAAAACCGATCGTCGTAAAGGTGCGGTTTAGGCTACCCAGACCCCAGGAGGATCTAGAAAGTAGATCCCCTAAGTTGGGGCCTTATGCTACTACGGGTACTAGGGTACTTTATAGTAACCCCCATTAAGGGATCTACTTTTTGGATTTTTGCGGGGGTCGTGGGTACTGCCATGAGCCGAAGCAGGAAGTTCCTTGCGCAGAGCTGAAGCAGTGTCGCCCCTGTTTCAATGTGGGAGTTTCCGAAAATGGGGGACCCTAATATAGTACCTTAAAAAGTAGGATCCTCCATATAAGGACCCCTAAATAAAGGAACCCCTGACTTTCGGAAACTCCCATGTACTGTGATACCTCGCGAGATCCTGTTCTATCGCCTAAGATCCCCTAGACCCTCCAATTTTTGCTCCCCCTACTTGAAGGATCAGGGGACTCAGGAAGCAGGGTTATAAGTGAGGTAGCTAGAGCTATACCTACATATTCGCCTAAGGTACTTACAGCCCTGTTTCCTAAGTCTCCTGAAACTCTACGTAGACCCTAACACCTAAGCCCCAAAAGTACCCCATACTATTACCCCAGGAAAACTACTCATAGCCCTCCTTCCTAAGACCCCTGAACCTCTACGTCGCCGCCTCGAGATCGCCGGCTTTGGCCGGGCGAATCTCCCAAGCCGGCGTGGCCGACGTGTCGGCCATGGCTTCGAGGAGGCTTTTAGAGCCTTGGGGGTTTAGGGGTTTTAGGGTTTTTAAGGCTTTTAGGCTTTGGGACTCCTCAACTGAACCCTGAACTTCGGGCTTTAGGGGAACATTTCGTTACCATGGAGCCCTTACTAAAGGCCCCTGTCAATTGTAGCCGAGTTTTGGCGCTTATTATGCGATCCGTGTACAGGGACGATCGCACACAGTACTACTGACTATTCAAACCTGTTTTCGGTCAACAACCCCTATTGCGAAGGGGAAATTCTGGAATCCTCTTTGAAGGAAGCCCATGATTACTTAAGAACACGAAAAATGAAATAACTAGTGATGGTAGTACATCTCATGCTGATAGTCACACTCGTAATGATCGTAAGGAGCCTTACTTGAAAGGTTTGGGATCCCGGTTGTCTTGTGACTGAGACTGTTGAGCTCAGGCTCATGGCTGCAGCGATATCCATGGATACCAGAAGCGTTCACACGGGGGCCTGGAATGCACAAGGCCAGAGCTAGATTTTGGGGGTTTAGCATTTTAAGATCCAAGACCCTAAGCCCCGAACCCGTTCACTCAGACAAGACGACTTCTGGGCTCTCGCTTAAGCAGTGCAAGGGGATACCGTTACTGGTCATGTCTGCCCTATGTTCTCGATCACAAATCCCGATCCTGAGTTCTTGAGGCCTGACGCTCTCACATTACACTTGTGGTACGGTTGATGATATGAATCCTGCACTACCCATAGTAAGGAATATACCATAGCCTACGGTCATTAAGGTAATGCAGGATTTATATCATCAACCGTAGTCCTATGGTATTCACCACAATACCTAGTTCATGGTTGGGATAGGATTAAAAACTTAAGTCTTTATTCCTTATTGGTTTTAAAAACCATAAACATGTAAAATGCTACCCAACTATGACAAAGCTTATGGTACACCCACCACAATACCAAGAGACTCCGAGTCCCCTATAGTAATCAACGACTCCCCATTGGGAAAGGCATATTCTTTGATTTAAGGGGTTTTGGGGTGGCTGGGTACCCCGAAATCCAAGCCCCAAGCCCTGATTCTAAACCCTGCAACTACAAACCTGAACCCCTAAGCCCGAAAAGCCGAACACCTCTAAACCCCAAGCTGCAAAACCCTTAAACCTGAAGTCTAAACCCTGAAACCCGAAACCCTAAAAGCCCTAAACCCCAAACTCTACACCCAAAACACACGAAGTCCCAAACACTGAACCCTAAAAGCCCTCAGCCCCAACCCCTAAACCCTAAAAACACTAAGCCCTTAACCCTAGGTCGCTGTCTTTTTTGGTTCTCTCCGCCTTTTGGCTTTCGGAAAAGCCAATCCTCAATGAGCCTGAGTGACATGGTAGGCGAGTTTTATGCGAAGTTCGGGTTCCCTCAAACTGGTTGAAAAGAGTTTTTGCGTTGGTTTAAGGGCTTCTACATGGATTGCTATAACAGTTTCTGTCGGAGTTTCTAGAAGGCGATTTATGCAGCTGTTTGGGTTTGTATAAGGGTTTTGCAAGTAGGGTTCGGAAGGGTTTCGGTTTCGCGGCTCCGGGCTTTAGATTTAGGGTGTGGGCACCAAGGTCCCGAGAAGGAATGCTGTGCAGTTGGGGTTGCAGCTGTACGAGCTCTCCAAACCACGGCATAAGTTGGAACTCGTAATCGCAGTAAGGGGCCCTGTTTAGAGAGCTACCCATGCGGCTTAAAGTATCGGGATCTACTCAGTTTACAAACACCCAAACAAGATATATTATACACGTGAGTTTACCCTAAACCCTAAACCCCAAACCCTAAACTCAGAAGCCGAAGGGCACGAAATCCAGATCGGGTAGATCTCTGAGCATCTTCAGGCAGTCACGAACGGTGTTCCTCAGCTCGGTAGTCGGAAAGCTTGCATGAATCCAAGGCTTGCTGGGAATATCACCCAAATGGGGGGTTTCCGAAAACTAAGGGTACTTTATTATTTTGGGGTCCTTAGAATACGGCTCTTATTATTTAGGGTACTTTATTAGGGTCCCCTGTTTTCAGAACCACCCAAACATGGCCGTGCTCAAAGGGCTTGAGTGTTCCGACTTGGCCGTGCCGTAGGCCCAAGTCTAAAACTTAAACTTCCCAAACCCTAAACCTGATCGGATTTTGCGGGCCAAAGGGTATACGGTCTCAGCTTCGGGTGTCAGGGTTCTCTTGGATGTGCGATATCCTGAATTTGAACACCTGTGCGTGGAAACTCCATTGTTGGCAAGACCCGTGCGTGAACCCCACTGCTACGGACCCTGAGCTTCAGAACGCCCATCTTTGCGACTTCTGGGATCTGCGGCCTATGCAGGCACGGCCACTCCTGCAAAGCCTAAACCCTCTTTGCAACCTGCTAAGGTTCCCAACCTTACCTGTGGCAAAGTCTTGGAGGCCTCACCTAAAGCCGTAACGCGAAGCCTAACAACCCTGACAATGATTACAAGCCTTGATAAACTCGCAGTATGCCTCGGGATTCCTTAACATACGTGTGTTGAAAGCTATCGAAGCCCCCATATTACCCTGAGGCCCTTGTCCCAAAAGACCTGGGATTAGGGCTCAGGGATGTGGGGCTTTGGGATATCGGGCTTCGAGGATTCAAACAGATGCCATGTACCCGCTTTCTGCAGCGTCTGAGTATATCGCCCAGAGCATTGGGTTTGGGGCTGAAAGTACATGAAAAGGGGCCCTACAAACAAGTTGTGGGGGCTTAAGGCACATTTGCCTGCTATTACAGGTAGAGTTACGGATTCTTCGCAAGGTTGAAGACCGTGTTCTCCATTCGGCTACATAGTGGGTACTTCTTTGAAGATGGGTTCCTGTTGAAGGTCCTGTTACAAAGGGTGCCGTACTATTTTGGGGACCTCCAAAGGGACTCTAATTGAGAGAACTAGCCAATTCCTTGCTGAAAGCCAAAAGCTCCTGAATTAGGGTTTAGGGGTTTAGGGTTTAGTTACCCTGATGGGGATCTATAGCACTTGCTGAAAGCCAAGGCTCACGATGGGCTCACCTCTGGAATTGAAGCCTTGGCTTCTCAGAGGGTTTGTTGACATGCATGGTTTTGATCGGTGTTTTTTGACCTTTAGCACCCACTCCCTAAACCCTAAACTGTCAACCCTAAACCCTGAACATCGGTTTTGAGGGTTTTAAGGTTTCGGGTTTCAAGTTCAAAAACAGGCTAGCGACACTATCCTTCCATTGAAGATCTCTTATCTCTTATCCAAGGCCCGGCCAGGATTCAAAGAATACTCCGTAGTTCACGGGTCCTGGAGTATTTGTGAACCCAAATAAACCCTAAGCCCCACAACCTCAAAGCTCTAAGTCCTAAACCCTAGCACTCCGAAACTACTAAACATACTGAAAGCCCTAAAACAACATTACCAGAAACCTCCAACAATACCCACACCCCTAAAATGCACTGCAAACCCAAGAGCGGAAAACCCTAAACTATAGCAGCCTTAAAAGTTAGTATGAGATTTTGGGAGATATTATACTATCATGATAGCAAGGACACCTCAGGAATAGTACTACTGGTGGTGATTACGATACTGGTATATTCTTCATGGAACTGTTTAGGGGCGACAAGAGGATATTATTACCAATTAATCCGGCGCCTATGCCTGTGAACCTTTGCAACGGCTTGTACTATAGGGTCCCAAATAATTACCAATATATCTTCCTAGGGTTCCTTCTTATAGTATAATAATTATACCAACTACCATGTCAAAACCCTAAACCCTAAACCGTCACAGCACCATTCAGTCAGGCAGCTGGTGTTTATCAGGGACGCCAGGCCGGTCCACCTCTTCACCTGGGCTTCGTTGTCCCTTGCCTGGGTTCCTTGTTAAGGAGTTTAGTTTGGGTACTGCCCCCATACAGTAGCAGTCTATAATAAGGCTACTATTAATTAAGGTCCTAATATAACTATATTCTGAATAATATCCAACTGTTACTGTTCAGGAATTTCGGAGTTTCCGAAATCAGGGGTGCCTTGTTTTGGGGTCCTTATAGTAAGGATCTTATTATTTAGGTTGCTATATCAGGGTCCCCCAGTTTCGGCAACTCCCATTTAGTTTCAGTTGCAATAATGGGGATCAATAGTAAATAAAAGGGTTTCCTTAATGAGACGGCGTGGGGTTCAAGGTTAGGAGTGTCCGGGATTTGGGATCTAAGGCTAAGAAGGTAAATAGGGTGATTTTTAAGGGTTCCTTGTAAGGGATCTAAAAGGGTTCTATAAAGGGTCTAGGGTTTAGGGTTAGGAGTTTCCGAAAACAGGGACCCTAATATAGCACCCTAAATAGTAGGATCCTGATTACAAGGACCCCAAAATACCCCCCCCCCCCCCCAACCCTAAACCCTAAACCCTAAGCCCCCAAACACTAAACCCTAAACCACCCCCCCCCCCGCCCTATTTTCGGAAACGCCCAGATGCTGCCCAAGCCTCAGCCAGGAGCAGGCTGTGCACCCAAGGCTCGTCCTGCGAGCCACGGGCGGGTTCCTTAAAGGCTTCCTGGTTTAGGGGGGTTTGGGGAGGTTTCAAGGGGTTTAGGGGTTCCTTTAAGGCTTCCTGGTTTAGGGGTTTTGGGAGGTTTTAACGGGGTAGGGTTGTAGGGGTCTAGGATACAAGGAACCCTCCCTAAACCCAAAACCCTAAACCCGAACCCGTAAAGTAATCCATAGAGGAACCCTTCAAGAAACCTGAAAGTCTTCTCGGCTTTTGGGGCTTAGGATACTGGGATCTTAGCACTTCTTCCATACTTGGAGGACCATGGGTCTTATTAAGTAGGGTCATAAGTCAGGTAACAATAGTTATATCCACTTATAACCCCAGGTAAGGTACTTATAACCCTACTTACTAAGTCGCATAATCCTCTAAGTAGGGTTCCTTGACTTGAAGGCGTCTGGCTGTTAAGGGGGGAGTTGGGGCTATGGACGCCTGGGTTTAGGGTCATGGATACTGGAGCTTTGGGATTCCCTTCC